TTATGACGGATTCCGCGAGGATTCCGTTTTTCTTTCAAAAGTCTCGGACCCCGAGATATTTCATTTGGAACGGATGGGAGCGCGTCGCGGGGAACTTTTCTGGTAAATCCAAAAAACTCGAAGGAAGCCTCGGCTGATAATAAAAGGAGAGGTCGCACGACGCCCTGTTGTTCTTTTGCCTCCCATTCTTCCCTTAACCGAGAAACGATGTAGCTATTTCTCTTTTGAGGCGGACGTACGACGTCGTAACGCCGACGATGGAACTCGGCCAGTTTCATATTTTACAAGACGATATTTCAAGCTGGTGCTCGGCCACACCGATGGAGCGGGAGGTGCTACGGTCCCATGGCGGCACTGGTGAAAATTGGATGCTACCTTATCTCGTTCGGTTCATTGCCGATGGCGCCACCGATGACTCTCGCGTTTAACATTGCACAGGGTGCTTCGTGATTAGTGGACGACACTTCGGCCATCCATTTACCGGAGTTGTTCGAAGCGCAAAGTGTCATCTGACATATTACTCGGGAATGTGACCGGTCGCTTCGAAATTCGTTTGATTCCGCGGCGAATGTTCCATTCGGGAAATTGAACTTTATTACGAGTGGTCGGCTGTATTGATCATCGATGGTCGTAACCGATTGAAGCAACTGATTTAAATGAACTGTAACGCAGGTTACGAGTATTATATCTTTATTAAAAGTGATAAAATTCATCGAACGATATTATAGAATGATTGTTGGCGCAACACGAAACATGAAACTTTACAAGCAGGCCCAATAGAAAGTCCCTTAGCGTCTGACATGCGATAAACCAGAGGTCCTGGACATATGTACATAGCGGATCGAGTCAATTTAAACAGACAATGTCCAGATCTCCGGATTTATGCAAGCCCTGGATTTTTCCGTGGCACATGACGTCATCATTGTCAGGGAGTAAGCAGCATACCCCCCCACGAATTTCCCCCAAATACAGTTTACCAAAAACGCCACCGAGGCGAGCAAGAAAAATTCAGAAACGAGGAGATCTCATCAAGACAGCGACCGAGAAACATCTAATTGTAATCGCATACGAATATTAAAGTTTTCCTTAAACATTCTTCTACCATTCATTCTGGGAGTCACGTCTTCCTCTCCTACAAATGAACGATCTCCCATCGCGATTAAATTTGCATTAGAGGTGAGCATTACAGATCGTACAGTTCACATTCGCGTCGCGAAACTTTACTCACGCCGTAACAGTGATATTAGATAATGCATGTCAGTAAGTTTCTTCTATATTGACAGTTTCTTTGTTGCAATAATATCTCCGTTTCTATGTTCACCTTTTCCAACGTAGTCATACATTGTTACTTGTTCAGAGTTTCTAAAGGAATCTTTGTAAACTTCGTAATACAAACTTAAACGAAGGATATCGATTACGTAAACGCAACCCTCCTCTGTAACGAATGTTTCACATATCCTCGCCTCCTCCAGGCAACTCAGCTAATTAACATTTTAAACTCATTACTATGCAACCCAATTACTGGGTGGAAGAGGAGCGTGAACCGACCAATAACTATTTACTGCATCCGCCGCAGGATAATGGAAACGGGTCGACTGCCTTCTGACATACCACCGCCGTTAAATTATTCGGATTTACGGTAAGCCGATTCTAAGCGAACCGCGGGCGAGATACAAGATTACACGAATCATTCTAATTAATGCCGTGCCGGTTGTTAGATCCAGATCGAGAAATCACGGGGACAGCATTTAATAACGCGGCCCCGCCCCGATCGTCTCATGAAATATTCATATTACTCTTTTCAGCGGCGTTATCGGCGCATTGACTTCCTTTACGGCTTTTATGCTTTTGTCGGCCGGGTCGTTACGATTTACCGGGCATAAAAAAATATCGTAAAGGAAGCGATCGCCACTCGGATATAAACTGGAATATTCAGCGGGACGTTCGACGGACAATCGCGTATGAAACGCGGGGACAAACGGTCCTATGGCTCAGATTAATACGTACGTACGCGATTAACGATTGTTCCTGTTTTACAAGAGTATAATCTACTTCCTTAGGAATCATAATGCAGTGAGAAGAAGTTTATGACGCGTCCATTATATCTGAGAATTTATGAACAAGTGTTATCTTTCAGCTGTTGATAAATGGTGCTGGAGGGGATTAAATTTGTTAGATTCCTCGCGAAATGATACGTCCCGCTTGAGACGGATCGCGACAAGTGAAATTACGTAACAGTTCTACTAAAGATATCGAGAATTGTTAGGACGCGACAAATCGCCAGCAACGTGGATTATTGAAAAGACACGATTGTAATTTTTTCGACGCGTGTCACCGCTACGATGTGATTAAATCACTGGCCAAACAAATACAATCGCGAAGCGTGAAAACATAATTAAGCTGCAGATAAAAAGTCGAGCGTAATCCGGGTTAGGGGTTACGGTGGACAAGCTGCAGGATTTTCCATTAAAGTCCAGTTCAAGCTTTCCCGCCCTCGAACCGTAAAGAATGCAATTAATGTCCGCACTCTTCCGTATAATCTGAATGCAGAATCAGTCTGGATGGTCCATAAACTCGCGGGCAGGAACCGATGCGATGGCAGCTAAATAATACAGGCTTCTTCGTTGAACTGCTGCGCGAGCAGGGGCGAGACCATGAAGATGTCTGATGCCACCTTAAACCCTTCTCGGGGACAAACGAGATAGTTTATCGCTCGCGCGGATATAAACGCTTCTCTTGACAAAGCCGCGGAAATTGTACGCTCGAAGGCACACATTGTACATCAGTGGCTTCCTTCGAGTCGCTGACACACACGGCCAGTTTTCATCGTAAAGCCGACGCAGCGTGGAAACCATTTCTGAACTGCCCGGGGAGCTTATATTCTCGACGGTGGCTCGTTAGATTATTTTTCATCAATTAGGTGGAGGAACAATGGAGACTAGAATCACATTCATTTTATCGTTCAGAATAATGTGAACTGAAGAAAAACGAAACAATTGAACACAGCAGTCCATCGAATGCATCGTGCGTTGTATTTTTAAATAACGTGCACGTTGAATTATATGAAATATAATATGAAATATAATATCAAACACAAGGAAAATATTTAGAAAATTTCGATTACAACGACTCGCTCGAGGAACGCGGAACATTGTCGGTGATAATTGCTGCCAGGATTCTTAACTAACCGTCCTCCTACAGGCCCCCGTGTCCGTTTCAGAACTGTTAATCGCTTTAAAGTAGTCTGCGATTAAACCGAGTCGATTATCCTGTCAAGCCCCGCTCCAGATTCCCTTATCCGAAACTAATTGTGGGAGAATAAGTCTGGCGATGCCGGCCGAAATTATATCCGATTAAACGTATCGCTCGCCGGGAAACGTAAAATTTAACCGAGCGCCGCGCTTTTCATCGAATCGCCGCCCGTATTCCTCGAAAGCTTTTAAAACCGGCTGGCATTAAGTCCCGGTTAATTCTGAAAGTTTCAACGATATCCGTCCATCATTCCGCGAAATGAACTTCCGGCGGCCACGCGTCCCGATTAACGAGCTGTCACGTGAAATCGATAAAAGGGACGGCAGTTCGTGACAGGCTAGGGCCGAAACCGAAACGAAACTGTGCGGCCATTCATTTCCTTTCGCCCGGCACCGACACAGATGAGTTTAATTTACCACGACTGCAGTCTTGGAACGAACCACGACACAAAGGCGCGCGCTGTGGGTTACGGGAGGAAATTATCGCCGCTTCATTTCGCTTGAATGTAAATGGATTTATCCTGCGACATTGTCCGGCCGCCGCTTTCACCGACGTTTACGTAATTAAAGTAAAGGGCGGCCGGATCTTGAATACGGTTATATTTTCAGCACACTCGATGTTGTCGCGGCACCTTCGTGTCCCTTTAAATAGAACGACAAGATAAACTTTGTGAAAATTGAGGGTGTCGGGGAAGAATATTTAACAACAGAATAATGCTTCCACGTAGGGAAAGTACGTTTAAATTGAATTATGAAATTAGATTGCAAACGGGTGCTGCTTATAAATTTATTATTTGTATTATCCTATTTATCCATTTATTTATTCCCTTCGCTCACTTATTCCGCCTTTTGCCTTCTAACGGCGAACTTTACAAGAATTATTCCGCTCCCTACAGAAAAATACTACCCTCGAATTATGAACATTTACCTCGAAGTAAGCTGAATTCGAACAAGGAATAACCGAGCGTTTCAGCTCCGCGTCCAACAAAGCGTGGGATCGTAATGGTATTCGAGGAAACGAAAACTGACTATTCAAGAACTCGCAGTCAGACAAACTCCCATACATTATTCGCCATTCGACTAAAATTTATCTCGCCTCCGACGATAACTGTTACGAACTTCGCGATTCCTCCGCTCCCTCCCGCCTTAACACCTGTATAATGTCGAGGCGCAAGAAGAATCATATAGACGACGCGCAATAATGGAATGCCTCCAAGTTTCAGTCAATAAAGAAGTTCCGAAAACAATTTTGCAATGCAATAACCCTTCGTGCCACGGCAATCGACAAAGTTTCCTCGGAGTCTCCTCCGCCATATCCAGACGGGGGCGAGTGGGGATGCGGGGAGAGGCCTTAAAATTCAACGAACCTCGAGGAGATCGTCTATCCACTTCCAAACACGGATTCCGCCCCCTGTTCCCTCATGCAGGCCGTTCCGCGCGGAGACAAGGGGGCCAGTCGATGGGCCGTAAAAATCAGAAGATCGCGCGAACAATGCTCGCGGGTCGCCGCCCGATGGGATCGACCCCGTTCCATCCGCTCGCGCGTGTTCTCTCATTTTCAGGTGAGGTTGCCCGGCGTTATCCCAGGA